CATTCAGCAGTGGACCCACATTTCCTCTGGTCGTATTTTTTCCTCCAGAGTACTTGAAAAAACCTTTCTTGTTGCCCTTGACCTCTTGTGCCAGTTTTAGTTCTAAAGAGACCTTAGTTTTCCTTATCGCATCCCTACTTCTTCTGACAACATTCTTGTATGCCTCCCAAGTGGTTAGCCCCTTCTTTCATGTTCTATATACTCCCTTCTTCCACTTAAGTTTATTCATTAACTCCCTGCTCATTCATGCAGGTCTCCTAGCTCTCTCACTTGATTTCTTACTCTTCGGGATGCTCCCATCTTGAGCTCGGAGGAAATGGTGCTTGAATATTAACCAGCTCTCTTGGGCCCCCCTACCTGCGTGTGTTAGTGTGCGGACATTTCAGAGAGGTGGCCAAGCATGCAGGTTTTCCTGGAGGAGAGCGGGAGGATATACCATTGTCATACACAGCCCCAGGACGGTCTGCCTTTTTGTCACTGTCTTTGGTGGTAGCTAAGGACCCTTGGTGCCAAACCTGGTTGACCTGATGTATTCCACAGGTGGATGCATCCCCATCCCACACCTCAACTGAGACGGCAGACTGAACGGCCTTACCAGCACGCTGTCCCACAAGCACCGGCATGTTGTGCATGGGCTCCTCTCTGGCCAGCCCAGTCCCATCCCCTTCCCCCTTCGAATCTAGTTTAAAGACCTTTCTATGAGCCCTGCCAATCTGTGCATGAAACAGAAAAATAGTAAAAATCTTTTTTTTAAACAAATCTTTTACTATTTTCTGAACAGAAAAATAGTAAAAATCTATACAATGGTTAGGTTTCTACAGTTCTTTAAATTTCCAGGTGATATATAGGCACAAAAATTCCTATTGCTCCTTTTCTGAAGTGAACGTGGTGAGGAACAGTTTTTACCTCGTATCACAAGGCATGATTATTGCCTCTTTTGTTGCATGACTACCACTGAGGTGAGCTAAATAAGACTTCCAGCACTCAGCTCAGAATTTTCCCCGCCTTAAAGACAAAAGTGAAAGATTGGCTGCAGGGTAGACATTGATGAAATAATTTGAATGCCAGTGATTAGTTAATAGTTACTTGTATTTCTGCTTTTCCAGACTTGATGAAACGATTTGTAGAAGAGAGAGTGGTTACAGCCAGAGTTCAATGATAAGCAACATGGGAGAGAGAAAGTGTGAAATGCTTTTCTCTTAACATCAGAATGATTTACTTAAACTTGTGATGTAGGGAGAACAGCTCCCTTACTGAGTGGTTTTTGTTATTTTTCATTTGAGTTCCCCTGACCAGATCAGATTTATTTTTAGAATCTTGAAATTCTGTCCATGTACTCGAACTGAACTAAGTCAGCAACAAGATGAAAATTGAAGTATTCTTAAGCAAAAGTAAGAGTAACTCATCAAGTAATGGTACAGCACAGATCTTCAGCTTTTGTCTATTATGGAAGGAGAAGTGAATCTGACTGTTTCATTGAGTTCCATGGTTCTGTGGCAGCACACTGGTGGTTTTCCCTAGTCTCCGTGTGAACAAATGTGATGCTCTACAATGGATGTGTTACCTATTTGTGCTGGGGTACGTGCTAAGTAAATTTAGTTCTTGGTATAATCATACACTTAACATAATTTTTATTAAAATTTTAATAATTTTAAAGCTTAAATTTCCAGTGTCTTTCTTGATCTTTAGGTCATGTTTGCTCTAATTTAGAGCCCATT